GATACACACAAAGATATCCACATGCACACACACATACAAAGACACAGACATGCACAAATACACACACACACACACACAAAGACACACAGAGATACAAACACATAGATACACATACACACATACAAAAGACACAGATGTAAATACACATGCACAAACACACACACACACAGAGACACACACACACACACACACACACGAGACAGACAAAACAAGAGATTTTTTAAAGGTGACTCAAGATGCCTTGTCCATTACCTTTGCTGGAACTACGTCACAAAAGGAGACATATGATGCTAATTTAATCCAGTTACATATTCCTGTTTATAAAATAGAACAGTGAACCCAACGCTAATCCCAGCACTCGGGAGGCAGAAGCAGGTGGGTCTCTGTGAGTTCAAGGCCAGCCTGGTCTACACATTGGGCTCCAGGAGAGCTGGGACTACAGGGAGAAGCTGTCTCAAAAAGACCAAAAAAAAAAAAAAAAAGTATCAGACAGTTTCCTCATTGATCATCACATATCTTGTGGTAGGATTCTTTAGAAAATCCAGGGTTGAAGAAACTTGGTCAAAAAAGGTTTCCTTTCTTAAAATCAAATAATCTGCAAAATGTTTTCATAAACTTTAGCAGTTTTCCTGAGTTAAGAGTTTCCCAAATACTGGTTATGAAAAAAATGAGCCAAACTTACTAATGGAAAAATAAAGAATCTCCATCATTCATTCCACCATGTAGACTCAGAACTGTGTAAAATATATCATTTTGTGAGTTTCAAAGCAGTTAGCAAAATTGATTATGACCACATCCAGGTTGGTAGGCACAGGTCCCTCCTCTAGCCCCACCCAACACCATGTTGGCCTTTCTTCAATGCAGAGTTATTTTCCTCATTTCTCAGGCTATGGTAAATGCTTCTTCCCTTAGAAACTAAACAAACCACACGTTCCTGTAGAATTGCTTTGGTGGCATTTTCTACAAGGTGGCCTTACTTGGCATATGCGTGGCTCTCCTGCCAGCTGGTGAACACTCTTCCAGGCTCTGGACTCTGACTGCCTTATTTGGTCTTTTGTCATTTACTCACTTTAGCAGTTTTCCTGAGTTAAGAGTTTCCCAAATACTGGTTATGAAAAAAATGAGCCAAACTTACTAATGGAAAAATAAAGAATCTCCATCATTCATTCCACCATGTAGACTCAGAACTGTGTAAAATATATCATTTTGTGAGTTTCAAAGCAGTTAGCAAAATTGATTATGACCACATCCAGGTTGGTAGGCACAGGTCCCTCCTCTAGCCCCACCCAACACCATGTTGGCCTTTCTTCAATGCAGTTATTTTCCTCATTTCTCAGGCTATGGTAAATGCTTCTTCCCTTAGAAACTAAACAAACCACACGTTCCTGTAGAATTGCTTTGGTGACATCTTCTACAAGGTGGCCTTACTTGGCATATGCGTGGCTCTCCTGCCAGCTGGTGAACACTCTTCCAGGCTCTGGACTCTGACTGCCTTATTTGGTCTTTTGTCATTTACTCTTTGGTCTTTCTGCTTTTACTTTGTCTCTTTTACTATGCACTCACGGAGCAAACACAGAGTGTTTCACTCCTTCTCTCTGACGACCTCCTGTGATTCTAGCTACACTTGACTTGCTTTCCCAAATCCCTTCCTGGTTGGGGAAATCTTACTTCATATAAATGTACCTTCTTCACTCTACTGTGGACCATCAGTGTGAGTGATTCTCCATCCCCTGGATCTATCTTAATCTCATGTACTCCTCCCTAAACTTTGCCTACATAATCAGGGACACAGAGTTGGAGATATCACTCCATAATGACACATGAGGCTTATATCCTTCCTTTAACAAGATCTACTGTCTAGGATAATGTAGATGCTGAGCAAAAGTTTCTGCGTGATATGCACACATATTTGAAATCTAAATATTAGAGGAAGTACTTAGTGAAAGTAGGAAAAATAAACTACCGTTTCTTCTGTGACTATATGGCACCATTGACGTGTTTCCCAACAGAAGCACAGGAATCTTGTTTTAAGAGCTTCATACAAAAATTTCCTACTTGCCAAAAGTTGGGTAAAAGCTTTCCTGGTTTTTAAGTAGAGGATTGTGATAGAATTCCAAGAGTATTACATATGACATCCCACTTGAATGCCCAGCAGGGACTTTAAGGTCACTGTAATAATGAATAGCCAAAGAATTAATAGGAGTTGAGCCTATGAGCCTTCCTGTGTTGCAGCTGGGCAGAACAGTACTCTGTTCATGGGCTGTAAACACATCCCAGGCATGGCCACCACAGCTGTGCTGGGCACAGCTGCCCCTCAAAAGTACTGCAAAGATGGGAGCCTGTTTAAATCACTCTGCCCTCTTCTCTCATCAGACACATTTCCTTTTATATTATCAGTTACACAACAGCTACATTTGTGTTTTAGAGATGTGTAAGAATGGAGGCAGCTGTACCAAACACCATGTTCCTTCCTCAGCTTTGCCCCCACTCAACATCCTCTTATCTTCCTTGCTCTCAGAACATTAGTCACTCTTTTTTTTTCCATTTTTTTCTATCTACTCAAAGTCTTGTGCAGTATGCCTGATCTCCAGGCATTCCCAATTCCCTCCCTATGATGTGGATGTATTTAATCCCCTACCACTCCTTGTACCCTCCATGGTCTTAGGATTTCAGTCTATGCATTGGGTGCTAGTTACCGATGCCCCTCCACCATTCTTTGCCAAGCTGTCTAGCTTCTACTAGCTTCAGAGATGATAAGTTGCTGCTGCAGTCTTGTCTTCTACATCCTTCCTCTTCTACATCCTTTCTGAGCTGGACAAGCCTTCCCTAGCATCCTACCCTTCTTTTATCTAGTACCGGGGCCATGAAATTCTATTTGGCTATAACTTTCCCTCATTGAAAATAGATTCGTAGAGGATGATAAAATTTTATTATAAAAGTGGAGAAACACGTTTCAATCCAGACTCCATAGCTTACTAACTGATCTTGGACTATATGTTTAATTACAGGTCTCAGGATCCTTGTCTGTACTAACAATCTTTATGCCATGGTGTCATTGGAAATACTCAGCCCAACTCAAGTAACTTCACAAAACATGTACTGTGTGCAAAAGACTTAGAGCAGCGTCTGTCCAGCAGGACACTAGCTGATGCTTCTGTTAACACAGCCACCACGCACACTCTCATTCTCAGCTGAATGAGCCAAGAAGAATTATTCACTCTCCTCATCACTGTTTATTACTAGTAGGCGTGTTTAGCCTAAAGCATTCTAAAGGTAAGTTCAGGAAAAATTTGTTAATTAACATGAAACTGAGAAAAATAAAGTGAATAGGGCAGCAACATCTGTCAGAAAAACTCCCCAATCTCTAATTTTTCTTCTCTTAAGATAGTAATAATAGAAAATACACTGCGTGAATTCAATAAAACCTTTTTTCACTTGAAAGTTATTTTTGACTGAATTTTAACCAAACATACATTCAACCAGGTGCATGGCTTATGCCTTTGAGCCAAGCATTCATGAGACAGAGATAGGAAAGCTGCCATAAGTTCCAGGCCAGCCTGTGCTGCAGTTTCAGGCCAGCCTGGGATACAGAGAGCCCCTATATGAAAACAACAGCAGAAGCAACAAGTTCCATGCTGATAGTAAACAGGAATTCAAAAGCAATTTCTTTGGACTTGCAACTAGAAGTACATGCAGAAAAAAATATTGTTTTATTTTAAGTGTATGAATGCTTTTTCTGTATGCACATAGGTGCACCAATGAGTGTAATGGCCACAGAGGCCAGAAGAGAGCATCAGATCCCCTAGAAGTGGAGGTAGACAGTTGTTAGCTGCCATATGGCTGCTGGGAACCTAACCCAGGGCCTCTGTAAGAGCACTCAGTGTGCTTAACCTCTGAATCATCTCTCAGTGTGCTTAACATCTGAATCATCTCTCTAGTCCTGGTTTGCCTGAATTTTGATGCAGAAGCTTTCACTTGGCTTTTTGAACTTACTGAAATCTCTTGTACAATTTCAAAACTAATATCTTCCTTAATGAAATTAGAATGAACCACACAGATGTGATGAATAAGATTAGTATTAATTACATAGTACATATCTGGTATAATTCATGGATTAAGGGAGAAAAGAAATTCATTTATAAGCCTAAAGGAAAGCACTTAAAACTATGTATGCACTGGTGCCAAATCAAGACCAAGTTAGATGCATTTAAATTATATAAACTAAGTCATGAATCCTAGAGTCCTTCCTAAGACCCCATTAAAGGAGTTAAGCACTTTAACCCAAAGGTACAGAGTAGCAAATTGTGGGCTGCGTGTGTGTAAAATCCACCCAGCCTCCTTTGCTTTCTGTTCTTTTAAAATAAAGTTTTATTGGAACACAAATCACACTCATTCATTCAGATATATACTGTAATTGCTTTTATATTTAAAAAACAGAATTGGGCAATTGTGTCAGAGTCCATATGAACTATATTATAAAAATATGTCTTCTCTAGCTTGCTATGGAGTGTGTCAAGCCTGACCCTAAGATATCCATGTAGGTGCTGAATTATTTTCATTTCAATCAATCTAGGATATTACTAATAAGGTACCATTATTTTAAGAGAAAAAAGTTCATTCTGGTCATTTACTGTGTTCTGGGGTTCAGATAAAAATTATAATTTTTCAGATCACATTTGCTTCTCATTAGTTTTTAATAAAATAGCTTATTTTTAATGCATAAGTTCTCACCCAAGCCAGGATATGTCCGAGAGTGAAAGAGGGCACTATTAATAGCTCTGTGGTGACAATCAGTGTAAACTGAACCATATGGTCACACCAGTTCTGAAGCACCCCCAAACTGTGAAATTGATAAGCCCAAAGGGCAAGGCCGTTAGCCACCCCCAGTTTCTGTATTGCCACTGCTTTCTCTGTCAATCACTGGATCCATGCCCTCCTCCCTAACCATCCTGAGGGTGACAGGTCTAGTTTAAACACCACTGCACATGTGCAGGACTTACTTTTTAATTCTTTCTCCAAAAGAAGCTATTTCCTCCAAGATATTTTGAACAGTGGAAACAATATCCTGTACCATGTAGATTCTCTCAATCAACCCCTTTTTCTCAGATTCCTAGGAAATATAAAAAGTGAGATTTATATTAGCTGCTTCATTCTTTATCATTCCACTATAGAAATTATTAGAACATGCTGGAACATTTATGTTTACTAATAGAGTAAGTCACAAAAGACTAAACAGTTTTCAAAACTCTTGCTTTTAAGAAACAAAGCTCATTCACTCATTTGGATGCTACCACACAAACCATGTGAGCCCCAGGTAATAGTACCAATCAGGAGGTGATGAACTGGTCATCTTTGGAACCAGAGGCTTTCAGACACTACAGTCAGGGTATTATTCAATCCTTTCAGCATGGTCAGCTCTGTCCTCAGGAGGTTATCTCAAGGACATTTAAGCCCTCTTCCATTACAGTGCTGCAGAAATGCTCTCATAGGAAGAGTGGGTCATGTTGGAAATACACACAATGCATTCCTGAGTATTGTGGCTTCTTAGGGAAACGAGTACATCATAAATCATGTTTCCAAATGCTACTGGCCTGAGGAAAACTTCATTCATCTTTTGGCCACTATCTCAGAAAAAGAACAGACATCAGAGACACCAAAAGGCAGTTGGATTGCACAGCACTGTATTTCACAGCCTACAAGCACACCTGACAGTATATTATGATTTATTCACGAAGTTGGAATAAAATACAAGTTTGTCTTCCTCAGCTTCCAATTCTCCACATGAAATAGAATTCAACTTTCTAAGAATATTACCTGTAACTTATATGTAGAAGATTTCTAGCATGTTTGTTACTATTCCAGAGAGCTATAACGCTATAAATATAATTTAGAGATTACTCCAATGTCCACGGAAGGAAAATTCCCCAGAATGGTATGTTCATACTATTTCGCATATGCTATGAACTCCGTTTACATCATTCCCATTCCTGTTTATCTGGGTCATTGCTATCCACAGCACTTGCTGCACACTGCAAGAGCCTTTACAAAACTTTCCTATCAAGTACACCACTTGGGTAGGAAGTATGCCAAATTACATGCTACACACTCAGTAGTGGAATATTCCTATGACACCTTCCATGCTACAAAAGAAAAAAACAGTCATTTTCATCTTCTGTCTTCTGCTTCACTGAAATAGAGCCACAGATGGAGTGAGGAACCCACCACCACCTGCAGGGGTTGCTGCAGGAGGAAGGCAGCTACATCAAGGGTTCAACTCCTCTTCTAGTATCTGCCCTTCTTTGTGAAGCTACAGTTGAAACAGACCAAAGAGAATGTCAGAGGCTAGAAAGCACCTTGTCTCATGCCCTGAAGGAATGGGTGATGCGGGGGCTTAAACAACTCTTAGCATCTGCTCTACACTCTTATCCAATCATCCATTTATTGCTCATTATCCAGCCAGGAAATTCTGACTTCGTTGCTTTCTCTTACAACATCAAATTTGCAAGACATTTCACTCTGTACCCTAGTTTTAAATTCTTTCCCCTTACTATTATGTTTGAAGCAGTTTGTATTAAATATTAAACATGCTGCCAGAGCAACTCATTCATGCTCAGCAAGCCAGGGCTGTCTATGAATGGTCACAATGCTGAAAACCCATCTCTGTCTACTGCACAAGCACCATGTTTACAAAGGAGCATTTGAAGGCGCTGTGGAGCTTGACCCAGAGGGCAAAGGGAGCTTCCTCTGGCAGCAGCTTCCGCTTAAGGTCAAAACAATTTCTTGGAAAAATGACTCAAATTTCCATGCAGTATAATTTCATTAAAAACTTCCTATTTTAATTGTTTGATATTTTTACCTACAAAACAACTAAACACTAAGGTTCTAGTTATGAAGAAAAAATTAGTATGTCAAACTAAAAAGTGATTATGACAATGTCTTTCCAGTTTTTAATGGGTCTGAAGTATTCCTGGGAATATCCAGGTGTCTCAGAACTGTATCTCTTTTAAGAATAAAAGTAATCTTGTACATTTTGAATGATTAACCAACTTATTTTGACTATATTAATTGAATTATGGAAAGATTTCATTTGATTTTCACAAGTAAATTGTTTCAAATATTATGTGTACATTAAAATGAAAAAATCTTCATGTTAATCATGCAAACATTTTTAATGCAAATATTTTGATACGCATAATGATTATTCATGGCACACACATATTTTACTTGAGTTCCTACTTTTATCATCTATAATTTTATGATAGGATTATTTTCCAAAAAGCTACTTTAATTTCATTATCTTGTTTCTAAGATTCACCAAATTATTTTTAACCATCTTCAGAGTTGTACCTAGTGGCCATTAAATTGACATCTTCATTGACACCACTGTAGACAAAATGGAAGGACACTTTCTCTACAAGCACTTAGGAATCTTAGAAACAAATATGACAGATGGAAAATATTCTCAATTATGTATTTTAAATAATGAAGTTTATACTTCCAGGTTATACTTTATCCATTAAGATGAACTTTCTCTGTTGAATATTTTCAGTGAGCCTCTAGCTCATTGGACTGTTTCACAGAATTTATTCTGAATAATCCATGGTTTCGCTATTTCCTGTTTCTAGAGAACATTTATTTTCACATTTTTTTTATATTCAAAGATTTTCATCACAACATAAACTACTCTAAAGCACTCATGTGCTTTGCAGTTTTATTTCTACTGTTCCACATTGTGATACAGCTGGAGACAGCTTAGAAGACTACTTGAACTTCCCTGTTACCAGAATCATGAACTACATAGGCTTTTCCATTAACAGCCTAGTCTAGCCTCAGGTATTCTGTTATAGCAAACCAAACAGACTAAAATATAAGCATACAATAACAACTACCTTTACCTAAATTATATTATCATGGTTATTCATTAACTATATATCTTTGCATTATTTTTACTGATATACTCAAAGCACATTATATAAGTTTTTTAAAGTACATATTTACTCAATATAATAGGTGAAACAAAACTTTACAACCTTGTATTCAGGTAATTTCTCAATGATCTTACTTGAAGGATGGATTAAATTGTGTATATGTTTAATATATACCTACCTCACAATTTCTTAATCTTCCCATTAACCATTCTGAATTAGTAACAGTTTTGGGGTTTTGTGTGTCTTCCATCCCTGATGAGAGCCACAGCACAATAAGCTGGTATAACAGGTAACTGATAGGGTAGAGATAGTGATGGTAAAACCCAGTTACCCAGACATAAAAGGGCTGGCTCTTCTGACAGCACTTTGTTTTGTTAATGATCATCCTTACCCTTCCTTTGAGAGACAGGTAGCTACCCAGTCCCTGGAAAGAGCCAGGGATGGGTGATCCCTGCTTGCCTGTTAGATTTAACCTGCTATTATTCTTTGAGAACTTAAGTGCCTACACATGAATTTCATGAGATGTTAGAAATGACCATTATCTAAAGTAGAAACAATGATTGTCTTAGCAACTTATTAAAGGTTGTGTCATGTAAATATTTAGCTTTGAGTTGGAGCATATTAATATCAACCAAGGGAAACTTTCTAGGAAAGTGGGGACAGGTGATGAAACTAGATCACATTCCCTTAAAATTCATTAGTACAGAAAGGGACCAATTATTCCTAGAGTATCATCTGGACAGGGGGTTGGGCAAATTTCCTCATGCATTTTCATATTACCCTTAGAATACTTGTATAAGGTACCTGTCATGCATATATGAGATGGAATAAGTCCATCTGAAGGTATGTTCCCTCATGATTAGGGTCAAAGGTAGCTTCTATTCTCTGAATGGCTTTGGAGGTATTTGGGTGGTACTGAAAGGGAATTATACAATGCTCTCTGTGTAGATTAAGTAGCATATTAGCTTCTGAGCTAGAAGAAGTTACTATTTATTTTTCATAGTTAGATATGTCATTAGCTTCTTTGAAAACCCTCCCATTCTGCTAGAGGACCAGAAGATGAGATCAGATCGTTCAAACTGATTATACTCTCAGCTTCCTGAAAATTGCAACAGGTGCATCCTTGAAGCTGGCAGTGCTTGCTTGATGGTAAAATGGATGGATGCAGAAAAAGAGCAGGGCCTTTTGTGTGAAGTAGTGTCAAAGAATTATTTACACCCACATGGTAAATTGGGAGACACTTAGACATCAAGACAAGAGTCTAGGCATCATAAACCCATAATAATGACTGAAAAAGCAGAACTCAAGGTTCACAGAATCTGAGAAACCTCCTTAGGACACCCATCTATACCAATGACTGTCTTCTCAAGTCACATAATATTTTGATCCCTCAGCTATCTAGTACTGCATATTGATATATTTTCTACATTGTAAAGTTTATCTTTTAAACCAGAATTTGTCAACGGGCATAGTATAAAAGCAACAGCACCAGTATGTCTATTTCCAAGAAGCTTGAGTCCAGAGATGGTAAAGAATTTGTCTATGTTCACAGTTTTCTAAGTTCATATATATGTGGCAACAGACTTCAATCAAGAACTGTTAACTCCTAAGAAAGTGTCACTCCAAAACTATATTTTTGGTAGGCATTTGAAAGCTACCCACAGTTCATGTTTGTTTTTTGTGCCATTTGCTCTCTAGGACTCTGTAGGTTCCTATTCTCTCTGTTTTCCATATAAGGGGAATCATTTTGAGACTTTCCTCTTTAGTGTTCCTATTTCCTATTTTTCCCACAGTTATCTTGTCAGATTTTCATAAGAATGCACATTTGAAAATATTTTGGGGAAAAAATTCTTTCCATTTTCTTTTAAGAACTTGATAGGTAACCAATGCTTTTTTAGATGAACACATGAAAAATTATATGAAATAAAACTCTTAAGACAAATGAACCCTGCATAGCTCAACATTCAGGGAGCACACTAATCTTTATAGTAGCCAATGTCCCACTCACTTTCTCTACAGCAGAATTTATTTAAAATAAGATACATCAATTTTACGTTTCTTTAGAAATAGTATCTATCAGTATAGCAATAAATATATTCTAATTCTTTAGCATTAGTGTTTGTATTTTTAGGAATTCAAAGGAGTGTGTTTCTTTCAATAGCAGGCTGTGGAGTTAGAGATA